GTGTACCGGTACGCAGTACCGATACTGTACCGGAAAAATTGATTAGGTACAGGTCCAAAATACCTAATCCCTCAGTACCGGTACTGTACCTAAACAATTTCACACCAATTTTATGCCTATTTGTGACCTCAAATGTGTAAATAGCTGGTTAACAATGGGTCCCTGTGTAAGGACAGTGTGTTCATGAAAACAAAAACACCTATATTTTATCTGAGCATTCGCCATAAACAAAGAATAAACCTTAACTATCAAGTTTATTTATGTTTTTTTTGTTATTGAAGGAGTTCAGAAGAGCATATAAATTGGTCGAATTGTTCAGGTACAGGTTCAGGTCCGGACCTGTACCTAAACCTGTGTACCTGTACCTGTACCTGTACCTAAAATTTGTTTAGGTACACAGCTCTACTCAATACTATTCAGGATGGCCTTATAATTATATAAGGGTAACTGATATGAAGTAAAGAAGACTGGGACATATTTCCTTTCCAATACCAGTCCAGTCCATTATCATGATTTATTTGTTTGAGCTGCAGAAATTCCAGTCATGTGGTAGAGGTCACAAGGTAGATGTTTATAATCATGTTTCTATGTACACCTGCCATTAGCAAATAATGACCTGATAACATTCACCATGACATGTCGCATTTCTTTGGTAGTCCTGGTTTGTATATAATTCTTGTGTCCTTTTGCCGGCAGCATTCCGTGACCTGAACGGCAGCATGGACAGTGGTTCTGCCACCATCACGCCCATCGTACTGTTACAGGTCCTCCACATGGCCTTCCCACACTTTGCTGAGAAGGCTGAGCAGGGCGGCTTCAGACAGCAGGTATGGAGAAACAAATTCACATAGCATACATACCGTAGTTCAGTTGTCTGTGATCCTGCCTCTGACAGTTTCCAGTAGCATGCATATTTGGTGAGTGATGATGGCTGGGGTTCAAACTCACAACTTCTTGGTTCAAAGGCAGGGTCATTAACCACTAGACTACATGTGAGACTGTAGACTATATGTCATTTTATCATCCATGTACAGATTTCTCTTGCATAATGCCCATCATGTATCTACATGTTCACTTCCCCACTGTTTCAGGATGCGAATGAGTGCTGGGTTGAAATGGTCCGTATGTTACAGCAGAAGCTTCCTCCAGTAGAGAGGGTAGGAACAGAGGTAAGTGAGAAAATATGTTTTACTGAGGACAGTCTAACAGATACTTTGACTACCCCGTACTGAGTGGCTTCTCCTTAGAATGAGGTGAAAAGATAATCTCATTGTCATCTTGGTGAAAGCTGTAATATTTGGTTACAATAGTAATTTTTCCCCCCTGTGTTCTTCAGCTGATTCCAGTGCCAGAGCAGGGGAAGATGAAGAGGTTTATGGACCAGTTCTTCTCAGGAGAACTTGTCTCTACGTATCCTTAACAACTCACCAGTCAGCCTGTCTCTGAAAGTTTCTAAATTGTTTGATCTACATCTACAAAATCTGTGGCATAGAAGCAAAAGGTCTTGTGCCTCAGACAATGGGCCTCTATCAATCCATGATGCTCTCACATTATCTAGGCAGATTTTGATGTACATACTTGTTACTTGTACAATGTATTACGAAAAATTGATGATGACAATTTCAGGTGTAGTTTTACTAAAAATCTATGTACTTCAGACATAAAAGAGCAGGTTCTTGATGAAAAACTTGGTAATTCCTTAACTCCAACATCACCAGAATGAAGTGTGTGGAATCTGAGGAAGAAGAGGAAAAGACGTCTTCTGAAACTTTCTTTCAACTTAGCTGTTTCATCTCACAAGGTACCCATTTCATTGAATTCATTCCATCACTGAATAAATGTATAGAGACTTGTGCAGGGATTGTCACACTCTCCCTATCAGTGTATTTCATCAGGTGCATTGTAATGTGCATGTTTCATGCTGATACAGAAGTTGTTAAACTGCATTGTTAAACAGATGCAATTAGGAGTTTTTTTAAACAGTGCTACCAATGTGTATTGATTTGATTTTATCCTCTCTATCTCTTTTTGCAGATGTGAAATATATGCAACTAGGACTTCAATCTGTAAGTTACACATACTTATTGATTTATTATTCGCATTTATCAATGTTTTGGATTTCTCAAAGTTAATCTGGTATGAGAGGGCACCTTGGACCATCACTTTAGAGTGTATTTTTATCATACATTCTTTTGTACTGTATGTGCCATTATATTTAATTTACTGAAAAACATTTCATTGAAGAATACACATCTTCTCTACTTCACAGCGACTTGAAGAAATCATCACAAAGCACTCCCCATCCCTCAGCAGGGACGCTCAATACAAGAAAACGGTAAGTTTTTCACTCAGCTGTCTTGTTCAAGATGAACTTATAGTTAAGATAATGAGCACCATCCAAATCCTACTTTTGTACTGCGTTTTCTTTGAGAGACTTAAAGCCTTATTGTTGAAATGAATTTTCAGTCCAAAGTGCGCCGGCTGCCAGCCTACCTTACAATTCAGATGGTGAGATTCTTCTACAAGGAGAAGGAGAATGTGAATGCTAAGATCTTAAAGGTGAGGCCAACTTTCTTCTACAGAAACATAAAGTGTATAGGTATAGGTAATGTTTGTATGCCTCAACTTTTCTGACCACATCTATACCCTCTATTACTTCTCCAAAGACCAAATGCTTTCAATCTTACCTAAACTGACCTAGAATCAAAAGGTTCTGTGTTCAGTCCCCTTCCTCACTTTGCTGAGGTGAAAATGGCTAAAACTAGCTAGACTAAGGACATCCCTCAGATACATGTAGGACAATAAATGGAGGAGACCCACACCTCAAGAGCTGACAAGACTTGTCAAAAAGGGGTCTTCTCCCGTGAGTGGATCATGACCTTTTATCCTAATGACTGTCGTGTTGTACAGTAAAATAAGAACTTATTTCTATTTCTTATTTCCCAGGACGTGAAATTCCCCATGAGTCTGGACCTGTTCGACATGTGTACATCTGAGCTGCAGACCAAGTTGGAGCCCGTCAGGTCAAAGTTCAAAGAGGAGGAAGACAGGAAGGTAGAGGAGGCCCAGAAGGTAGGAGCATGTCTGACACAGCTTGTCTACTGATTGATCGTTTGCTCAGATTCAACACTCAGTATAGTCGAGTGCCATTTATACAGCTTATCTCACAACATTAAAGGATGCCTACATGTATAGTTTTGTATGTTTGGTAGTTTGGAATAGCTTTGTTCCGTCACCAAAGACTAACAAATTGTTTTCCTTTTTTAGGCTAAGGAAGCGGGGAAGAGAGTTGAGACACAAGACAAGAAAGATGTTCAGTATGAGGCTTACGACTTCCCTGATGGTAAGTACTTGTGTCTGGAAATCTTACCAGTTACATCAGGATGAATGGGACAGTAAGTACAATTTTGCTTCACTGCTTAAAGTGTGCATGTGCACTGTGATGCATTGGTGAGTAGTATGCCAAAGAACATCTCTGAGACACAAACAAAACATGTCACAACATGTATTTCTCTGACATCTGGGACTTTCTCCATAGACATAGGCTCCAACAACAGTGGTTACTATGAGCTCCAAGCAGTTCTGACTCACCAGGGCCGGTCCAGCTCCTCTGGACACTACGTGGCCTGGGTCAGGAGAGACGGTCAGTGCTGCATAATTTTAGTACTATTGAGAAGATGATGATGACATAATTTAGAAGGGCATGTAGTATAGATTTCTGAAAATGTTATTGTACATACTTCTAAAATTTTGAGTAGAAAAAAAACAACCTATGAATTTTCAGGGAAGTAGGAAAGAGAAATGGTTTTCAGAAGCAAGAATGTCAAAGATTAGTTAAGATAGGTTTAATACAATGAAATTTTGGATTTCAGTAAGCAACCCCCAGCCTTACAAGTAATTTGCTTTAATAGTAGTAGTAGTGATTGGTGTATTTGACTAATTCCCATTCTGAATGGTGCCATATTGCAGCTGACTGGATCAAGTGCGATGATGACAAGGTGTATGCTGTAACTGAAGAGGACGTACTGAAGCTGTCAGGTGGCGGAGACTGGCACTGTGCGTACGTACTTCTGTACGGGCCACGCCGACTAGAGGTGCCTCCTCCTGAGAAGATGGAGACATAGATTTCTGTGGCTTCTCTGTCGTGTCTTCAATGTGCAAAAAAATTATCAAGTCAAACCAAAATGAAGAATAAGCTGCATTGTGCCCATGTTGTCCTTGTACTGTAAAAACAAATCTACTCTTACACCATAAGAGTTTGGACTTTCCATGTCGCCTGAAGTTGTAAGAAATATTGATAATAAAGTTTCAGTCTTGCTTTAAAATACTAGTAGCTAGACCTTCAATGTCGATAACATTAGATACAGGACTTAATCAAATTACATGTGGCAAAGGAATTTTTGTCACTCAAATGCAGGATATCTGGGTATGTACATGCATTTTTCTGTTTGTGTAATACAAGTATAGTATACAATATTCCTACACTCATATTTTGTTGGAACTTGGAAGGATTAAAGATTTCTAAATGAACATAATATTTTACAACATTTTTAGTGTAAGCAAGTCATCCAGTATCAATACCTTCATTGAAGCTGTTTAGTCAGTAATACTACAAAAAGTGTACATATTAGATATGTACTAGAGCTGGGACAAAAGTAAAGGACAACAAACGTATGAAGCAAGTCAAGGTATCTGTGAAATTTTTGGTTGCGTCATTTGCTTTCCTCTTTTCAGACCAGTAGCTGTTGCTTATTAACACTCATTGTGAGATACGTAACCTGCAACTTGTACCGTAACCTGCAACTCTGCACTACTTTCAGAACACTTGTGGCACTGAACAGGTTTTAGAAAGAGATGTTCCACTGTCTACAGCACATTGACTGCACATTGTCTCATTGATACAATCTACTGCTTAAAGAGAACTGTACCAGAATTGACCTACCCATAATGTTGGAACATTACTTGTGTAAGATTGTAGTGCAACGAACTTCGCAGTCACCTTCATCATTGTTGTATGAAGTTGATGTAGGATTTTCAAGCTGGCAGGCTGTGACAGAACAACCCACCAACAAGGCTCTAACAAAGCCATTTCCATAACAAGACAGCTGAATTTTGTACAACACATGCATGCCTCCCAAGAATGCTATCACATGATCACATGATGATCACACAAGGAATGTGACTAGATCCTTAGTGCTAAGAGCTGCTACAAACTGCTGTATTGGACGGCTTGTTCTATTTGTCTTGTGACAGAAGCACCAATTGCTGTCAAACAAGTTGTTTGGAACAGAATTAAAAACTTCAACCATACACTTCTCTACTAAACTGGCATCATTGTGTGCTAGGCAATTACACATACCCGGGTAGTACATGTGCCTCTATCCTTAATGATACTGACACAAATGAGATCACAAGCCCAAACATTATACATTATAATAGTTTTTGTCAGACGTTTAATATTGGCTGATCATAATGGCAAAAATCAGTTTTAAAAGGTCTCACTGGCCATATGATACTAAATAGTTAACATACAAAATGATGTTATCACATCTAACTATTCAGAGTTTCAAACATCAAAAATTTCACCATCATTGCTATCAGCAAGGAAAAGACACTACATTGATCTTTTAGTATAAAATTTGTTGTGATAGTATACATGTGTCAGTTTAAATCATCCATTCTTTCAACCTACCCCTACCGTACTTCAACTACAGGAACTACTAGTCATTAAATGCAACATGAAAAGTAAGCAGATATTAAGTATATACATCAATCAGGTTAAGTATCTGCATGTTATCATTAGCAATTTGCTACAGAAACTGACCTCATCATCAAATGAATATATACAGCTGAAATATACATATACAATCATACGATAAAACAATATACATCTTCAATACAATTTGTAAGTACCTTTTAGCAGGTTATTCATTGCATATTTTGAAGAATATAAAATTTGTTGCTGATGTTTTCTGTTGAAAGCATGGCATCAATGTGGACAAAGGATTACTTTACACCTGCCTTCAGAATCATAATGCAACATCTATTTCTACATCTATTTTGGTATAGTATCATAGTACCATATGCGTGGATATGTACACTTTTCTACCATGACAATTCCAGTTGAGATTCCCCTTGAGATTCAGACCAATTTCAGTGCAATTGTACTTTATTGATACAGAAGGTTAGATGATGTTTAAAAGTGAAAAAAAGCTGAATGTATTTAAACTAAAAGAGAAGTCATCAGCACCTATTTGCTAGTAGAGTGAGAAAGTACAGTATATACATGTATCATTTCATGTGTCACATACATTGCCCAGTGTATTGTCCATTGTTCCCATCTTGCAAACGCTAGACATACATACAGTTTTTATCCATCTATATTGTGACACCTCTTCATACATGTATTTTCAATGCAACAATGGAAACTCACAATAGGTACTAAACACTTGTGGTGAATATTGTATCACTTCCACATTTGATTCCATAGTTCCAGCCTGACATCGAGACTTCATTACTTGGTGGAATCCCTCCCTCTTTTTTGTGGTGTTGAACCAAAGGAGTAGAACTGCCTGAACATTTGTTTCAAACAAGTGAGGGCTAAGCTTGTTCCCTCACTTCTTCGGCATGGACTTCTCAGCATACTCTAGAGTCCTCAGAAGAGACTCCAGCCTTTTCCTGATTCTCTTCTGGTCCTCCGCCGCACACTCGATGACCAGGGCCTGAAATTTAAGGTCTATGGGTCCTGTGGTGTCAGGACAGCAGGCGTTGTAGTAGAGGAGAAGAGTGTCGTAGTTTGCCCGCATGTCGTCACGGATTTTCTCAGAGATCTCGTCCAGGACGGTGTTGACCCTCTGGAGCGCGTCCTCCTGCTGCTGGTTGCGGACGGTGTTGACACAGACGTCCACTGTGAGGCAGCGACACACCAGACGTTCTGCTGTGATCTGGATCTCCTCCCTTTCACCTGGAACAGATTTATGATACAGCTTTGATTTGTAAGCAAGTAAGCTAAGTCTGACTATTCACCCACTCGTACTATTACAGACATATCAAACACACTAACATCTACTATTCAAAACCCATCATCTACCAAGGCACATAAAATGTCAAAGACAGGAACAGCTTGAAGAACGTTGGTAACCCATTCTGTGGAAATATTCTGAATATCATAAGTGAAATTTTCCAGAACGTAAGAACATGACAGACTGCCAGGCTGTAGAAGCAGCAGTACTGACCAGGACTGCAGTACTGTAGATCCTTGCTGTTCTGTAGTGTGTGGAGAGCCTCCAGCATGCTGGACTTCTCCAGCTCCAGGGCAGAGGCCTGCTCTCTCAGTACCTCCACCCTCTTCTCTATCTGGTCCAGCATCTCAATCAACCTGCCGTACAAACAGACATGTAACTTGTAAGCTACCAAACTTGTAAGGAATATCAATCGTATGCATTTCTGTGAGTCTCATCTGACACGTACCAGTGGGCACTAGTCACCCTGCCTCTGGATCAAGTCGTCATGAGTTCAAATCCCAACTGTGTCACTTACCCAAAATATATGGTACTTGAAATTTTGCAGTCTAAGAACGGTCTATTCATTGTAGGAAACTGCTAGGGGAATTTCCCTGTAAAATGAATCTGTGTAGCATCACTTTCACTGATTCATCATCATCAATTCATCATCATGTTCAGCAGACGTGTACATACATTTCTGATGATGAAAATTATGAATTAACAATTTTATTTTCATTATATTGATAAGCCATGACATGAATGGGAGTGGCAATCAGGTTGAGATTCAGAGGTGGACAATAATAAATCACGTTGACCAATCCTTGTGTTGACCAACAGCGTGTCATGTTTTTGTCATTCTGGTCATGTTTTTGTTAGATACATTTGGATGCACGATGTAACGCGGCATGTTCCTGACTTCAACATGCTGCTGCACTGGCGCTGGAACTTCTTATTATTAATTAGATTTTACTATAGAACATGATCAGATTATAGGACATGTAGGACGCATAAAATTTTATAAAGCCCAACCTGCTGGAGTGCTGGGCCATGCTCTCTGTACGGGAGAACATCCCCCGCTTGTCCTCTGCTGTCATTTCCGAGATCTTTTGGTCCCCCATAGTCCCTGCCCTTCCACCACCGCCACAACAATACAGTTTCGGTCCAGTTTTGGCACTCCACCCTCCCAGAAAATTCTGAGAAGTAAGGTAACGTTACGGCCAGGTTTAGGCTAAACTATTCACTTTAGGGGGGGCACAACGGTAATACCTTCAAAGTTCCATAATAACAAGCCTTTCATTGAGTATACACACACAAAATTGATGAAATTAATGTTTTCATTACATATTTATAAGAAACAAGTTAACAATTTGTATTTTTTTGACCGAAATCAACTTTGAAGTGGAGTGACGCCTTTCAACTCTAATAATAAACTGATCCATTTTGTTCTCGCGAGACTGTGATTTGACCTTCTTGGTCGCGAGACTCCGCGAGAGTTGTTCTTCGTCCGCCATATTTGCCCTTGGGTGAGAGGGTGTTTCTCCTTGGTTTGGTGAAAAATCCGGTAAGTACTACTAAGTAATATGAGGAAAAGATCCCTAACAACAACAGCGACAAACCATTCAGAAGTGGTACAACATTGTCTTTGTAATGAAAAGAAGAAGATATAGCTAATATTTGCTGTTGTAGGTTAGCAAGAGTGATGAAAAACGATAACAGTCATAAATTTTACAAGCAGTAGAAAAGATTGTAAAATAATTTGTTTTCTTGTTCATGTAAGTTGTAACATATACAGTGCTCACCAACTATTTGCATCACTGATATTGGCATAAACCTGGGATCTGCATAAAATTCTGAAAACCCAAACCATTTCCCATTCACTACATTATAAATTGCATGGCATAATTGCATGAGCTGTTATGACTTTAACCTGATATTGGACTAAAATATTTCCAAGTCAATGGCACACTGACCCAGAAATACGTGAAAGAAATACATGTAAGTTGTTGCATGTCAGCAAATCAGCATGAAGTCCATTGTTATTCATTCATTATCACCCCTGCACCCTCCATTGTCATACACTTTCTCTGTTGTCACTTCCTTCTGGACAGGTGAGAACCCCCAATCACTCAATGATGATTGTGTGAAGAAGTCATTTGTTCCTTTTTGGTGTCCTTGATTGGACTGTTGTTTTAGGTTTGGTATTAGCTTTTGCCCAACACCAAGGTAGACAGTATGAAGGTGGAATGTGTCTGATCTTCTATCTTCATGTTAGCCCTGTTCATTATGAGTTTCTGAATGCGACTTGAAGATTAGAATATGGTACATGTATGTAGTTGTGGGTGAAAGTGAGTATATAAATACCAATAACATCATGTTTGTGGTTGTTTCAATTGGCCCCAGCCCAGTATCATCCATAACCAACTGACCTCCCCTCCCTGTCGGTCGTGTGGACTCTCCTAAGGTTATTGGACTAACCCTGTTATAGGAATAAAATTCCCTGACAAATCGTCCATGCAAATAACAGGAGAGCACTGTACTAGTATTTTGATGAACCTGACACCTTTCACTATCCAAGGTAGCAAAGAAGGTCTGCTTTTGTGTATACCAGTAACAGTGTATGTACAATCCAGCTGCTGCATAATTTTTCAAGGAGGCTTAAAAAATATTCAACTTTCTTGGTATTTTGTACCAAATTCATTAAGTTAATGAATTTGGTTTCTCCATCTCAGCAGAGTTCCACCATGCCGCTCCTAAACCTGGGCCACAAATGGGACAACTGGATGTTGTCTGGTGCCAGTAGTGATGACAAGGGACAAACTCACAGGTGTTTTCATTTTGAGAAGGTTAGTCAAATTTATTATACATGACATACTCAGACAAGTCACAAATTATAGTCAGAGAAGTAGGACTATTGTCAACTCGGACCATGGCTAATCAGGCTAAGTCGGACCAAAACCAAGAGTCCGAACCCTAACAATTCATTTGTCAATAGTCTTGGTCAGAGTTACATGTAACTGGTCTGAGTTGGCAAATGGTCTGACTCGTCCGGATCCTTGAATACGATCAAAGGAACTACATGAAGAAACTGGGTGTAAGTTTTATCTTTGATCCCTCTGTTTCAAGTTATACTTCTTAAGTTATACTATAGATTAGATAATATGGATTTGTGAACTTCATTTGGACCCCATGACAAGAAAAGTTGTTTATTTTACGATTTTCTTACGATTACATTTGCTGCAAGTAACCTGCTGTTCTAGTTCTGTGGGTAGGGCAGTAATGAAAATGATGATGATGACATTTTCCCCACCTCAGGAGTTCATTGAGTGTGCCAGTGGGATTGGCAAGACCCGCGCCATCAGAGAGTGCAAACCAGAGTATATGGACTTCTTGGAATGCATCCACATGATCAAGCAGGTTGGTTTATCATATATATACTTTGAAATGTTTTCTGAAAGTGCACACCCTTAGTAAAATGATTTCTGTTTGAGTAATATTTATAGATATCCCAAATAGTGTATGATCACAATGTTAAAGTTAGTGTCTTTATTCATCAGTGCATTTTTGCTGAGAAAAGAGTAGTGAAAATAGAAGAGCAAAAGTGAGCTCAAACCAGTTAAGCTCAAATGATCTCGATGAGCAATTGAGGTACTCCACTACAGTACAGTATATTCAGATTTTAAATTATTATACCAGGGAAATTCCCCTAGCTCTTTCCAACAAGTATGAGCAGAGGACCATTGGCATAACATCCTGTCCTAAGGACTGCATCGCTTTCCAGTATTGTGCATATCATGTGACCAACAACAGCAAGTTTATGTGCTATCACCACATTGGTTAATGCCCATAAAATGTAATGTCTTTCCTGTATTTTTCTCAGAGAGAACGACTGAGGATCATCCGTGAAAGGAGGGACAAACTGATCAAGGAGGGCAAATACACACCACCAGAGTACACTCGGGATACACTACCACAATAAACAGAAGAAAACATCAACATATATAGACATGCATAGCTGGTACATATACCTAACATAGAGTTTTCAGTAATGTGAACCTGTGTATCCCTTATGATTGACCAAACTGCCCCTGAACAAAACAAAAACTTCAGCTGTACATCACTTTGTCAAATTTGAGCAGTATCATTTGTTTTACAAATGGTATTCTAGGACCTATTCACCACATAAGCACCACATAAGTTTTCAGAACTACAAGTAGCTTCCTCAATGTTATAAAGGTAAATTACACCCCACGGGACTTGCTTGGGAATTTTGACTTACATCATGATAATGCTTTTGTTCTGCATCCAAACTGCAGATTTTACATATCTTTACTTTAACCCTTGTCCTGCTGGCAATTTTTACACAATATTTTCAAATAATTTCATGTCTTAATCAGGTCACAGACCCTTGACTTTTTTTGCCCTGCGGCGGCGTAGTTACTTCCGCATTCGTTGCGTTTCGCTGCGGTGTGATGCGTTGCACGAGAAACACCCCCAAATCGCACATATACAGGGCACTATATAGATGGTACTGTATGTGCAACCCATATATATATGGGCCCCGCAGGACAAGGGTTAATATCGTACAGCTACTTGTTCCCTATAGTAGATTACTGCCAGGCTGGACCAGTTACCTTTGTATCACTTGAGATCTGTAAGGACATCCTTGATTGAAGTAAAGATGGTAAAAATCAAGTGTAAGAATGATCTGAACTCTGTTGTGTTTTGCTTGTAAACCTCCTTGTCTTTACTAGGAAGTTCAATATCACAGATACATGTAAGTGACATACAAGAAGCTCTTCTTCCCTTTGATGTCACACAAACAAGACAAATGAAGCCAGAAAATCAACCAATAATATGACATGTACATGATCTATGTTTCCTCAGGGGTTGCCCTTTTTCATTGCTAGTACACAAATGTATCATCATTAATTAATCTCCAAGCAGATCCCTTTTGGTGACAAGACAGTATCCATTGGCCAGAGACGTTTTGCCAGACACCAAAGGTGGCTAACGGACACTCCTCTGGCCAATGGATACTGCCTTGCCACCGTATGATCTGTTTGGTGTGAATGTGCCAGGAGTAGGAACCTACATTTGAGCTCGAGAAGATATTACCGGTAAACCTCGACAACCTTTCACAGCTCTTGGGACTTATGTTATAGGCAAGCTTCTCTCCACATTTTGATCTTGTACAGCTTGAAAAGGCCACCCTGCCCCCCGCGCGACGTTAGTGGACCAGTCCATCCTCCCACGAAGGTGCCAACTCCCCAAATTTGGACCGCTATGTCTGCCCTTCTGGGAGGTCAACTTCGCACTGGGGTGTGGGCGCTTCTAGCCAAACAAGGGACCGCTCAATGTTCATGAACCTTGGGTCTTGTACTAAAACGATAAGTTGAAATGATTACTTTTCCTCGAAAGCTGTATACAACATTTTTCTTGGATAAGAAAAGGGGTCTACACAATATTGGGAAACAGCAGTGCGACGTGAGTTACCAACATCCCAAAATGATATGAGCAACAACTAGATCTAAATCATCTAATATTTCTTACTAAGTTACTAAGTATTTGTAAAACTGCATAAAAGACGTCGTGGATATGTATTAAAACTAAGGACAAAGAGTAGAGTAGAGTTCTTTGGCTGGGCTTAGACACGGTAGAAATTTGTGGTCATTTGTACTTGTAGAATGCCAGTTTGGGCCGCTCCTAGATCCTGGATTTCTCAACTGAGTGTAAGTCGACGTCTCTCTACTCTGTTATTTTGCCGGTTTTCGACTCTTAGTTACGAAACTTTGCGGTGAACATAAGACCAAAGTAATATCGGCTGAGGAGTTGGAACCTCCTTGGATATGGGCGTTCCTTCGTTGGTTGATGGCTTCTCACCACCCCCTCACAGATACAGGCGCGGTCCGCCCCCGGGGTCTGCCTGTCCTCATCACGTCTGCGGATCACATTGTACACATTTGGGCGCGTCCCTCTCTTCTCCGCCTTACCCTGCATCTCACTGGTCTATCCCCGGGAAAAGACTGAGCTCGCCTTGCTCCTCTGACCTTTCTTTACTTTTCCTCCACTGCGACAAAATCGTCTACGATCCCATCTTCACGATGACCCGCGAGTGGAACCACGGATTGCTCGGGTGCTTCGACAACATCGGGCTGTGCCTCATCACGTACCTGGCGCCCTGCTACACGGCGGGCAAGAACGCCGAGGCCGTGGGCGAGGACTGTCTGGTCTGCGGTGTCCTAACTCTGGTGCCTCTCGTTGGAGCCTGGTTCAGGGCGCAGGTAAAGTGCACAGAAAAACTTGTATACGCCATTGACTAAAAGATTTCTGTAGATATGGAGTTTGACGCTCAAGCTTTGGGTCATGTTTCTTTTGCAAGTGTTGTTGTTTTCCCCCATCCGGATATCCTTGTTGTTGTTTCTCCCACATCAAAAGTTTGCAACAACGTCTACAACGTAAAGTGTATTATAGGGAATAACTGTTTCACTACGGTATTCACAACTACACGATAGTCCCGCCACTAACGTTGACTTTGGGCTGGAATCTCCATGTAATTTTACGCGCGGCTGTCAATCGGCTCTTGTAAACTGAGGGACTGTCCATTGATGTTCCCGTTATATGTGAAAGTTTTGCTGTTTCGTTAGGACTGATCGGTATCTAGAAGAAGGTTTATGGTTTTACGTTAATTGTACTATCTGCATGTACGCACACACACAAAATCGAATTCTATTGCAAAAAATCTGTCCTAAATTTCCACCTTCCACTCAGTCAGCTGGATCACCCCGTCCGAAAACAGACCCCACATTGAAATGAAAACCACGCGGAGGAGGCTTGTTGACTCAGAAAAGTTCAGGGTCAACGTTTACAGAATGTGATCACCCCCATCAGAATTCTTCACCACTAGTCCAAGCCGCTTGATACAGGATTAAGCCCTCCCTGCCTTCATAGTGCTTCCGACAGCCTTTCTTCTAGGAAATGACGACACACTGACTGAGAGATATGATAAGGTGGTGTGGAGGGCGTACCGGCCAGCTCTTTGGCTATCTATGGCTGGCACTGTGGCGTAGAGTGTTTTGGTGGCTTGTTGAGTGTTTCGACACGCGACAAGCTGGCCTGTAAGCTGAAAAATCACACACTCAGCCACGCAAGCATACTGATCAGTAGTTACAAGTTTTCCTTCTCAGAACATCTGCTTGGGGATTAACACGGGAGGGGCACCCCATGGATCCTGTTTTTTCACCTGTCCGGGACAGATCGATTTCCCTTTTCTTCCCGACTTTTTATTTCCAAATCACACTTCACAACTCGCCAGAAAAAGTCACTGAGAAGTGTTGCAGTCGTTTTGACGTTCAAAAGAGCTGATAATTTTCATTGATCATATGATATAATATATCGCAGCCACCCGATAATGAATTTGTAGTGATCATTGATCATTGACAATTGGTGTCAATCAGATGTGTCCTGTGAGATGTTTCTGTAGCCTGACTGAACCAGCGCTGAACCTCGCTTTTCGCCGGCTTCCTAGGTAGTCCGCCACCCTAATGCTCCTTGGCTTGAGGCAGTTGAGCGCCGGACAAAGAGCTTGGGTTTCACATGCTAATGTTTCTTATCTTTACTAATGAGAGGTGAAGATGTTACCGTCAAGATGCCTCATGAATCATGATGCCCCCAGCTTACAATTTTGACACTCCTGCTACTAGTTGACTGCATGCTCCTTGGTATTTGTAGCACAAGGAACTTGGGAGATTTTTTTTTTAGTTCCTCAAGATGGAGACATCTGTTTTTCGTTAGAAATTCGAATTCGTTTCCGGTTTTACTCAAGGTCGAAGTGTACTGAGGGCGTTGGAGGGGTATTGAGTGAGCTGAATCTTTGGGTAATGTCTCTGAATTTTTAGGCCGAGCCGTTCAACATCAATTTCCTGGCTGCTGTTGTACTGTGCAACATATGAATGACACGGATTCCATCCCTCAGTGTTCAAATGCCAATGGAAAGTTCATTACTTGTCCCTCATATGAACCGTACAACACCGACCTAGCCTGGGTGCCATCCGCCCTACTTTCCACCGGCTCCCTAATGTCGCTGGCTACCAAGGATTCCGTGGATGGCACCCACTACGGAGGATGGCACCCATGCTAGATGTTGAATGGTTCGGTCTAAATAGATTAGGGACAACTTGGACAAGTAAATGAACTCTCTGACGGCGTCAGAGAGAGACTGACGGAAACTATGGGGGATGACACCCAGGCTATTCAACATTAAACTGCATGTAAGAATGTGTATGGTGAAATACAGCTGGCACAGTCTGTCTGGGTTTGTGCCAATATACACGATGATGATCTCAACGTCTTTTTTTCCGATTCTGTAGATTCGAGGAAAGATTCGAGAACAGAAGGGCATCGAGGGCTCCCTGGTGACAGACCTGTTACTACACCTGTGTTGCCCTTGTTGTGCGCTTGCGCAAGAGGGTCAGGAGGTTGGCACGGACATCCCCACAGTCTCCATGGTCAGGGAGTGATGACGTCAGAATGACGTCACGAGAAGGAAGAATTCACTACAAGTCGCCATCCTGGAAAAGCTTTTTTTTCTGCCGAACTCTTTAAGTCAGCTTCCTGTGTGACAATGCAAAGAGCTAATTGTTTTTTTTTTATGTTTATCACCTTTTTCGCTTAGTCCACTCCAAAACGTTTTCCTAATACGGTCTTTCATGTAGATATGCGTTTCAAGTAATACAGAACCTTGTAATGCCTTATGGTAAATATTTTATGAATCCTTCAATGACGTTTCTTCTGTGCAGTTTGTATCGAATCCCGAGTCAAGCAACGTCCACTATTTTTATTTTGTAATGCAGAGCTAGAGAAAACACAACACACAATCTTTTTGAACTGATAGTCTGTTTCACCTGCATTCCGCCAGGAGGCGTGACATATTGGACCATGTTACAGTACTAGTAATATACGTATACGTGTCTGTCATGTGTTTCTATTAGTCCTTTTACAAGGGGGCGTGACAGTGCTGTTTTGCTTATTATGCGTCAGAAAGTGCCTACAATGTAACAAGGTATAGATATTGTAGTAATGCATTACGTAGATACAATGTATGTACCAATAGAGCGAATATATATACTAGCAGTGTAGCCAGTGGTGTAGCCTGTTACACAATCTCTCGCTGTCACGTGTCAGGGACTGGTTGGGCTTCCTCCTGCCCAGTGGAATGACTGCTAGCAGTGTGATGTAGTGAAGCTAACTAGTAGTGCGACTATTGTCGTAGCAGTAGTCCTTACGTACCATATTACGTAGTCCTTACGTACCATACGTATTTTAGCCACATGTACCCTAGGCCTTGTTGTAGAGTTTGAGTAAAGCTTGAAGGTACTATCAAGTGTTTTCAAGTCTCTTATCTTGTACAGAAGGACGTCCGTCTGTAAACCTGTACAGAGGTTTGATATATTGATGTGGGCCTCTTTCTACTTTTAAACGTTTTGTCGGGCTTCCTATTATGTCGGCTTTTCGTTGGGTATCACGAGAGAATAGACAGCCCGGCAAAACGCGTCAAGATCTAAAAAAAAAAAGCCGGAAAAACTTTAATAATAAGCCTGAACATTGCATCATGCTGCCTTCACCTGCAAATGACTTTGGAAGGGTACAAAGTCTGTGGGGTGATAGGTGGGGTGATCAGGGTACAGCGAGGCCGGCCTGGTCTGTCAGGTGACCCTGTTGTTGTGACAAACATTTTACCTGACCATGTAGGCACGTGAAACAAGACTTCTCAAGCGAGACTGGTCAAGAAACGGACTCACTGACCCAGTCGTAACGCCTCAGATACCACAGGTGGAGAGGGTTGTCTACCTAACGATTAAACTTTTTCCTCGGTTCATTGACATTTTTCAAAATTTGAAATAGACAACCTAAGAAAGACATCATGATCAATGAAGCCAGCAATTATTACGCCATATACATTTCCTACATGGGTCCGGGTACGCATGTTTGCTCAGATAATTTGTGTGGCTCCATGGCATTTATTACACCTTTGTGTGGCGTGCTGTTTGTTTGTTTGTTTGTTTATTCGATCTCCATTAGATTTACATGAAATCTATTCTGTACTGTGCTTGGGTGCGTTTTCTCTGTTTCTCTATATCCATACGTATACACTGATAGTAGAAAACGCCCAATAACAGAAAGACGTCGACCGTACGAAAAAATGTGCAAATAATATTAAGCCGCTTGTTCATCTTTGCTCGGGTAGTGTGGGAATATACATGTAACGTTTATGACGTTATGACCTGTAAATGTTACCTCTACCTGACCCCATGCATGCCTCAAGGGGAATTTTTTGGTGGGTCGGTTGGTTGGTGGGTGGGTGGGTGTGAACAGGCGTCTTAATTTAAATACTAGTACATGCCAGCGTAAAAGTATTATGAAAGTGGTGCATAAACAAGGCATATGTTATAGACATCACCCGATTTCCTAAGCACCTGGGGATCATGCCGTGCGAAGGTTCATAGTAACCAGTCAAGTCCAATTCCTCCGCTGTGATATTTCCGGCTGTTTCCGGATCTTCCAAATCTGTGAAATCAAAATTTGGGTCATACAAATTTAGGACGTGGGATGATCCCTGGAGGGATCGTACGACCACTGATCGTTCGCTCTGCCCTTCTATTGGACCAGGAACCGGAGGCCAAAGGTCGGAGCGCCAATACGTTTTTCACTAGGCCCGCTCGAGCAAATTGACTTTGTCACACCACACCTCACGTTAACACTCGTGTGGGCGGGTACGCGCGGCGGCTAGCAACACCGGGACACCCGTGACGGCCTGGGAGAGACGGACTGTCCATTCAGGTGGGTCATTGACATAACGCGTAGTTATGATAGCAAATAGTTACTGACTATGACCTGTGTGACAGGTGTGTTAAACAGACGGTAGATAGAACGGCATGGGAATAGATACAAGGCCCGATAGAGGCGTGCCACACACCACTAGCAGCTTGTTCGACCGGGGTCATATTGGCGGGTAACATAGTCCTACAGGCTACACCAAAGTCAACTCGTCTGAGGCAGGTTCACCTTTGGTCTCGATTTGTGTCGCGAAAACTCAACGCGTAGCGACCTTTTTGTTAGACCTGTCTGGCCATTATATGTTGCTACAATCACATGCTGTTAAGTGCCCTGGCGATTCTGATGGTATCCACCTGGCGGGTTAAGTACCCCGGCCGCCAGACATATGTCATAACCCTCACTTATTAGCTATTGTAGACAAAGGACGAGGTTTGTGTCTGCCATGACCCAAGTCAGCTCGGACAAGTTGATTATTTTGTTACATCGTGTACGAAAACGGAACAGGAATTCTATGCCACAATGTGCGGAAACGCCATGCAGTGACAGCACGAAAGGGTCAATCATGTGTGAGAAATCGGCGAATTTCCGATGTAGCCATCCCCATGTGACCGTGACGAGTGAGATACGGGATTTACTACAGAAGGAAACATGTTCAGGCTCAACTTCAGACTGTTACAAAATTCCGGTGGATCTTGTACCAATCCCGATCGATGATCCCACCCGAGTCAGCAAATGTCAACGTTCCGCAATACGGTGCTGAACATTGTGGTCTACTTGACTTGTAGTAAGAAGATGCCCGGTGTTTGAGTTGTGCTGTTCTATCTCTTATTTTACATTTTACATGTACCCCTCTAGTAACGTGTCAGATATCGATGCAGCTGAACACAAGCGAGACCGTGGGTGAAGAATGATTTATTTGGCCCTAAACTGACAGATAGTTGACAAAGAGAATTTAGACGAGGTTTTGTTACCATTCAGTACATGAATCCACCTCAAATGATCATATTGTACTCATTATTTCCCTAGAAAAATCCGAGAACCAAGAAATTTAATTGGTGAAGCAACTAACAGATTTATTACATAAGACGTGTCGACAAATTTCGTTCTGGGTACTAGTATACATTGAGCATGTATGTTACCAGTATACTCGTCCGTCCGTAATGTTGGTGTTTTATGATCTTTTATCGTTGGGCATGGGGTCCGGTGGGATTTGGGCAAAATGCCACAAATCGCTTCGCCAGGTACCACAGGGAGGATTAAGCAACATTCCACTTCGGTCAGTATGCTGTGGGTTTTCAATTGTCGACAATGGAAAAGAAAACGTTTGCCCTAAAGCGAAAAGATGCATTCCATACTGAGTCATTACTGACCCAAATGCATATTCACACAGTTCCAATCACGCACGTGCCACTTAAACGATGCCGTATTATTTAGCCAGACCGTCTCCAGAGTAGTCCCACTCAGTGGCATTGTACTTGCCATTCCGACTTTTTGAAACGAGCCCTGAGCCCTTGTTTGCCTTAATTGGTTACGCTGCGAATAAGCCCACTTGTGCCGGGAAACGCTTACAATCGTTAATATGTGTGCGACTATTTATGGCGGCTATATCACGCCATGTCCGACCAGCCAGTTGGCACACAGGAGAACTGGCGCCAACTTCAAATGATGCGCGCCTTCAACATGATAGATGATGCAGTTGGTTATTTTCAGTGATACAATTCCATTAAATCATAACGTAATGAGTCTCCCGTAATACGGCATGTATCTATATATATCATTTATTCTTATTGCACGACAGTTGTGCATGGTACAATGTCATATTATATATAAGCAGTGGTTTCTTTTGGCAGATTTCCGAGGTCTACAGAGCAGCAAGTTCACTCTAGTAAATGTTGTAAGTCCTTTTTGGTAGTGCTAAAACATAAAGTGGCAGTTTACGTGTAGCAGGCCTCCAGATATCTAAATATGAATCCTCATAGATAACATAGAACTAGCGATTACTTGATATCAGGTTAAACACACACAGCAATGTTTTCGGTGCAAACACTGAAAACAGTCGCCGCGTATCAATGTGTGCTAAAAAAGGAAAGTAGATCATGCGGTTTTACATGTACGTCCAAAGAGCAAAGACCCCGGGAACGAGATGGCGACCATTGATAAGTTTTATTTCATCATACCGAGGACAAAGCTTTGGGTTCAAAGTCTCCTGGCCACGCGCGTTCAGAGAGCTCTGGGAGATCAGGGCAGCGGGGTTAATACAGGGTCGTGCTTATTTTCTCATTGGATGTAACAGTCAGAATATACGGTACCTGTGCGGTCACGTTCGTCATAGCCCGTAGCACGATTTAACGTATGCTGTAGTCGAATTTTCCGACAGGCTGTGCCGTGATACGGGCACATGCGCATGCGCGACTATCCCCCAAATGCGCTCTGTTTGCGATCACACGACGCATGTTGACAACAAGCAACCTTGTTTGAAAGGTATGAACATTACATTGGATGTTTTTGGACTAGACCAGAAATGAACAAGATGGACCCGTTCAGGTCGAAAAGTTTCAATTGCTCTCACGTCTGTCGTAGCGGGCAGCTGTATGTGGACTACAGAGCTCAGCATTTTCACAGGAAGACAGATCTTGCTGTGAGTTAGTTACAATCTCGCAATGTCCACCAGTGACTGTGGAGGCGTGTGGCATTCATTACTTTGTATATACTATACGTACCACTTTTGCTAACGGTATAGGCAACGTTGGCATGCATCTTGAGCTTTGGACAATGGTCTATTGTTAAACTGCTAACCAAGCAGGTGGCGTGTGCACCTTTTTCGGTCACCAATAACGGCTGCACCGCCGCGATCATGACAGTATTCGTGTGCAACTGGCGTCTCATGATCAAGACATTTGCTAATGTCAGGAGTATTAGTTGGCACGCTTACCACGTATAGGCTTTGAGGTTTCCTTGACTACACGTTTCTTCTGAAATACCAAGACATAACCCCAGGTCAACCTCGTTATCTAACCCACTACAATCATACTGCAATCAAACCCCAGTTTGTAAACTATAGATGTAGATCGACTTCTCATCACAATTAGCAGTTCAACCAATGGTATCAAGGTAATTAATTATTTGACAAATGAGAGAGTGGCTGCATGTCCGTCAAATATTTGCATTGTCATATTTTCACTTTGCAATTCGACGAGGTGGGCGGGGCTAAAGTAAAGGCCTGGGGTTAACGGACGTACATGTTACTTTATTTTTGTCTTCTTTCTTACTGCTTAACCCTATCACTGGGTTCATTAGTAGCTACTACATGTATAACTTATCATTTCATGCATTCTTATTTTGTGCAGTTAGAAGGAGGCGTGTACTGTAGCTGTGACAACACTACCCAAGGAGTGATGGCTGCGGCCACTGCGACTGTCACGGATCTCATGGACGAAGCATGGAAACTACGGGGTAAGTCGTATCTAGCAACAAAGTATTTTCGCGGAAAAAAATTTTATCTTCCGTTACGTAGTACAAATCCTAGTACAAAATAAGCCACAATATGATGTGATCGAGACACCGACGCATTATTCAGCAACTGAGGTGTTGACAAACAACTTATGACAATTGTTATGAGTTATTACATTAAAAAGTATTTGAACTAGTTAAAACTAATAGTTAACATATATCTCACGGTGTGCTACAGATCCCCGAACCAAAGACTGGTTCATGCTGTCGTCCCCATGGCCCAACGTGTACCTGACGGTTCTGTACTTCCTGCTGGTGTGGCTGGGACCGAAGGTGATGCGGAACAGACAGGCCTTCAGTCTGAGGGAAGTCATGATCCTCTACAACATCATCATCACCGCGCTGTCCTGCTGGATGTTCAAAGAGGTGAGAGTCGCTCCTCATCAGGACTGGCAGTGTAGCTGTCACGACGTTTTCTTCCATATGTACGGCGGAACTAAGTGAACTCCGCCCCCTTAAATTTCTACTAGACAGTGTCAATGACCGTTGAGCAACCAATCTTGGATTTTTGTGACCCTCGATTTTATATTTGGAATATGACGCACAATGTATGAGTATGATGTCAAATTTTTGGACAACAAAAAGCACAAAATGTTTGAGAACAGTGTATTGAGAAATCATTCTTATCTGTAGAAATCGTTGAGCAATCCGCCAAATATTTGGCCACTCATCGGTCGCGCAGCTGGTGGAATTTTTGGGAACATGAAGAGGGAACAGAGAATTTCTGCGTAGATTCATGGAATCAATCTCGAGGTATGGTGTTGTTTTGGTTGTTTGTGTTGTTATCTTCCGGTTCCAACTTTCACTTGTGTTTCTCCGCAGATTCTGTTGAGTGCTCTCAACGTGGGGTACGACTGGACATGCGCATTGATGAAGCCTGAGGATCCTCAGGACATCCGGGTAAGTCATGGTCATCATCCCTCTCGTCCCCAGGACGGCGAACAAGTGATGTCCCAATAGTATTGTTAGTTTTGTCTCTACTGTACCAGTTGTTTGTTCCCTAAAATCAGGTGATTTTGAAGACAACTTTTCGCTCTGATTTTTTTGTGTGTGTTTCAAGTAAAGACAGCTGCACAGGAGGCATGAAGCCAGAATTATAAGGACCGTAACCTCCTCGGAAGCCACCCTCCCAATGCAAGGGTGGTTCATTACGAGTTCGGAGCGTATTTACCGCGGGATAGCTCTGCCGTGGGAGAATGGGAAAAACTTGACAGCTTTTCTCTTGTGTCGATGAGATCGTTTCGTATTTGCCATTGGGGTGTTTTATTTGTATGTTCACTTACTCATTATTTGTTTGTATGTTTACTGACTCATCCTTGTCATCCTCACAGATGGCCAACGTCCTTTGGTGGTATTACTTCTCAAAGGCCTTCGAGTTTCTTGACACGGTAAGGCACATGCATGATGGTCACTGTTCTTTAGATTGATTTCCAGCTGATAAAGAGGTAGAATGAACTTAAAGTATCGTAATGCATTATTCTGACAGATGTTCAGACCTCATGAAACATTTAAACCGTCTAGAGTATTCCTTTTGTGGCCACTGAAGTGGAACAGATTTTAAATGTACGATAACCCGTTTGAAATTAATCGCTATGAAATCGTCCGACATGTTCCTTTTGTTCGTACTGTCAATAACGTTATGCTTTATTGTCGCTGCTATCACGTCATTGTGTGATGCTCGAACGGCACACATATGCTTTCAATATTGTTTTATGTACTATATGAAATCATGAAATATTTGCGGTGGTTTTATTTTCGCCGCTTTTGCTGTGACTTTTACAATGCGAACTCATGACAAACCGGTGTGATACATGTACTTGTACAAAGCGAATTTGCACAAAATCAGAGGGCACCAATAGACATGCGGTGATTAAAAAGATACCTATACGCCTACCTAGCCACCTTTAATGATCAGTACACGCATCTATCTATAAATCTGTCCACCTGTCAAACCCACTGACAGCTTGTCTTTCTTTTGGACCAGCTGTTCTTCATCCTGAGGAAGAATAACCACCAGATCACGTTCTTGCACGTGTACCACCACGCCTCTATGTTCAACATCTGGTGGGTGGTCCTGAACTGGGGACCGACCGGACAAGGTAGGACGACTCTCAGTGTAATTTGTCGTGTACAAGTCGGGTACAAGTGAGGAAATGTATAACAAGTTCTCAGCCTGCAAGGTCTCTGTCCTAGGTACGTCGAACGTATGTCAGACCACACACTATGTACTTCTCAGAGGTTTGAAATCTCCGATTGTAAACTTGTTCTGTATATTTTCAGCGTTCTTCGGACCCCTGGCCAACTCGTTCGTCCACATCATCATGTACACGTACTACTGCCTGTCCGCCGTCCCCTCCCTCAGGCCCTACCTGTGGTGGAAGAAATATATCACCAAACTCCAACTGGTACGTCACAATTGTCATATCCATCAAGCCAGTCCCAATCATGGGTTGAGAAGAGCTGTGACGGCCTACAAGGCTGATAGGATTCAAATAATCCTACCAAACATCGTATTTCCTTCATGTTGTACAAAGTACAGGTTGAAATACTAAATCGAAGCTCCTTTGTTTCCGCAGTTGCAATTCTTCATCGTCATCTTCCACACCTATAGAGGCATCTACAAGAGCTGTGGGTACATCCTGTGGCTGCAGTACTTCCTGGGAGTCTACATGTTCTCACTGGTAGCCCTCTTCACGAACTTCTATATGCAATCCTACATCAAGAAGAGGCCTTCCTCCAAAGACCAGAAGGACGTGGATAAAAACAAGAACGTCTACCAAAACGGCGCGAGTGCTGCTCATGGCAAGGGGGTCTCTGAAAACAACGGGGTTCGTGAGGGGAATGGCATCACTAGAAGGAGGGCTAAGAAGGCAGAATGAAGGGATGTTGTGTAATACTTGTATGTGCATTTTAAGCGATGCCTTTATATGCTGTTGAAGTGGCACCGCATTTTATTTCGTATCCGATTGATTTGACATCTTCCGATTTTTTACTTACTGTACTCTTGACTGTATTTAGTATGGCTTGGTACTTGGCAAGCTAACAAAACAATGTGTTGCATGTGAACACTAGCATTTCTAGATAGCGTTCATCTCTAGATAAGAAATGTAATGACATCCTGTCTAAAGCCATTGGGTAGCCAATTAGCACTTAGGGTAATGTTTAAACGAATTCGATATTTTTCTTACGTTTCTGCACTTTTTATTCAGATGTTTGCCGTATCTGTTTGCAACAAATATCTTGACATGTAATGTTCCAAGACAATGTATGTTAAACAAAGAATGTGGAAGTAAGCACTATCTCCTAGAATTCTGACTTCATGACCCACACATAAGCTTACAAAGTGTTGTCCTATCAATATATTGTAATAGCCGGACTAGTTCTAGAATGAACAGTTGGTGTAACTTTATAGAATAGAATAAACAAAATGCACAAGATCTAAAGCGTTCGTAATTATTGTGCGTTTGTTCTGTGTATATCATCAACAACCCATACTGGTTTAATTGCAGTAGTTGTCCCCTAGTGGTGAAGACCGAGTCAGGCATGACAAAAACGACATCATGCGGAATACACTGGAGTTGATCCGGAAGCATGAAACTACAATATGTGTGCAGTTTGACAAGCGCTGCAGATCAAACTACAATGTAGAAGAGAGATACCGTTCAAAAGTCGTAGGTGATTAGTAAATTTCTGTCGTCTCAAATTCAGATGTGCGTATATTTGTCTAAAGTTCGAGCTGTCTCAAGTGAGAAAATTCAGCGTCCTACAGACACTTTGAAGGTGATTCACTCACAACAGAGCACTAAAACTCCAATTAATCCCTTTACTATCTCCCGTCATATCGGTGCGAAAAAGCGGACGGTCGAGTATGCATTGAGGCATTGTAGCTACAGACGCTACACAAGCCCTTATGACGTGATGTTTACCATAACGTTGACAAAAAGGTTACTCGTCCAGACCTGTCCTTGGTGCTGAAAATGCCATCTGTAGAATCTCGAACTTGTCAGTGTTTAGTTATGGGTACGATGTGGAATTAGGACGGAGTGCGTGAGAGAATAAGCTTTTAGCTAAGTAATTACATGCGGTTTCGTAAGATGTGTTGACAATTTTGTTACGTTTCGTTGTCAGCCAAAGTCTTGCTCTTCTAAATGGTGCGTGAAACCTTGAACTTGGCCTAATATAGCTTTTGAGATACAAAGAAAATTCTTGACACCATATCATATAATTACTGTAATTACAGATGAAAATACAAGTACAATATATTCAAAGCTTCCATATCATCCATTGATATTAATACATACATTATTTAAATACAACAATGTACTACAATTTTACAATCTGACAGTTTGAAATGATATCCTTCACGTTTAATGAACATCAGTGTTTGTGAGTTCATCAACAGACCCAAGTTAACATGTTACATGCTAGAAACCACCCAAACATTCTAACTCATCAATAAGAATCCAAATAATTTTCAATTCATGATAATGATAATCAGACATCATCTGATGGTTAGATGTTATGTAACAATATAACGGATGTTCATTTTAATGTTAAAAATATGGGATAAAACCTGTAAATGTATCTATACACAAGAAAATAGACTTAGATCCCTACACATTACATTTACAGGTATAACTTAAGAATGACAGGTATATTCTTCTTACACATTTTAACGTAAAAATAGATCACTTCCACAAACTCCTATATAGTTTCAGAAAGCCTTGTGTAATACACAAGATATGAAACCAATGACAGTAAATCCATATATATGTATATGCCATACTTACAATACATATAAATTTTTGAAAAACAACATGACAATTTCTCTTATGTACACTGTAACATTTCTGACAACAATGCAGCATCATACTACACTTCTAAGTTTCAATTGAGCAATGCTGTAATATAACAATTCAAATACTCAAAATGATGTTGTTCAATACCTTACATGCTAACACATGATATTTTTATAGCATCCCAGTTTAACCCATCCTTCATGATTGATTGCAGCTTCAGTAAAATCTTATCTAAATTGCATGGAGTATGAGTTACCTGGTCTGCATGAAATTAACGAATTAGTGCACATCAAATAATATTGATTCTGACCATCTGTTACACATTCTGGTATGACTGTAGTGAGGTGAACTCAGCATCCTAAAAGACAACCTTTGAGTTCTGTCTATCAATCTTTTTCTATGAAAAGTAGTCAAGTCTGACAGGAACAAAAATAATGCAAAAAGCATCATTTTGTCACTCCCACATAACAAAAACAGATGTCATAGAATAATTGTAACCAGATGTTGTTGTCTTGCTGCTACATATAATTTTCCCATGTATCTGGTCATAAATAGCACGGTTTTTCAACCCCACACACTTATTGAGAAAAGTAGGGGGGGTCCAGGTGTGCTTGGCTAAAAAAATAGCCTAAATACATGAGCTGTAGCAAAGCCACATCACGTTAGTAGCTACTTGAAAAAGAATCATTCTTCACCTCTGTTGAGGATGACAAAACAAGAAAAGAGATAATCATGTATAGGATAGTCTTGTATAAGATAATTCCTGCAGGTGACATCAGTATATGTCCAAAACTGTGAATTTCAAATGGTCTGTTTCCTTCTAGCCTTCAACATCCCAAGTTCCAGAACAAAGTCATGACAATGATGCTGTCAGATGAACAGATTATGTGGCGTTGCCGATCCATCTTGCAGAGTTCAGCTCCTACAGGTGTCAGTCAGTTATCAGGGCTGAAAAACAAACAGATTCTCAGTCATCCGGGATTACATGGTATGGACAGCAGGAGGATCTCATGTGAGATCCCTCGTGGGATAGTTCTGGGATAATTCTGCCTGGCATAATAGATAATATTCCTATTTTATTCAAGGACATTATTTTCAAGAAATCTACCATAATAACTATAAGATATTTTGAATAAAATGACTGATTCCCTTAGTGTACAACTGTATCAAAGACTCAAAGTGCACAAAATGATTTTAGACTTTTATATGTACAGCTTTTGGCAACTAGAAAAAAATAGGCATATAGTGTACATTGATGATATTGATACCCCAAAACAGCCTTATGATGCTGCAATTATGTGAATCAAACAGGAGAGGGCATTAGGTGGGAAAGGGCAATTCAGTGCACAGAATGTAGCTACTTGCTTTTAGAGAAGTGCTGAGGAGTTGCCCTAAAAATAATTGAGAGCAGAGACAGAGCGACCCACCTGTGACATTGTCTGGAGTGGCAGTTGACAGGTTAGCAGGCAGAGTTGGCAGCTGGAGAGATCCAGACAGCCACGTTAGTGTGCAGGAAAGGAGTGTGAAGAAAGATTTTCTGCAAGTCAGGATCCCAATAATACATTTTGTACATTCTATGTCTGATACAGAATGGCAAAAAATTAGGTGTGCAGTTTATATGCTGATACGTGAGACCAATGTTCTTTATGACTTCAAGATTCATATTCCTATCCTGTAGTTGTATTAAATATATTTATTTTCTATGGGTTGTTATCACCAGACAACTGACAAAGAGAAATTTTATACCAAGTATTATATAAAAGTCAAATAAAATTCCAAGCACTATAACACATTGACGTTGATGGTTGGCAAGCTGGTCAATTTCCCTCATGAATTTTAGAATGCAATTCAATGTCATGTATTTTTCATGACAACCAATTCTACCCAGCCACTTTGTAGATCTATTGTTACCATGATATTAGAAATAATTTCCTTCCCAGCAGCTAATCTGCAATGTTATTGGCTTGACATTGACGACAGCTAATGCATACATCCAGCTTAATCAAATTGAAACAACAACTGAGAGACAGACCTTGTAAAACTTTCACTCTTTTGACCAAATAAATACACTTAGTATTGTGAAGTTGCATAAAGTCCACACAGTTTTGCATCTGCAATGTTATTGCAGCAATAGAACATTTGATTGAAGATTCTTTTTAAAAAGAAATATCAACTATCAACCATGAACCATGAATAAATGTGATGGGAAGACAAAATGTAAGACTGAGCCAGGTCATCAGATCCAATCTACACCGCCCACACGGAACCTCTTATTACTGTCCTGTAAGTTTATTGTGGGCTGCTTGCGAGCCCTGTTCATTGGAAACAGTAGCCGTGTCACGTTAATTATGTATAAAAGGCTCAGCAGGCTAGGATTACACACTCGCATGCAACAAGTATCTGATGTCTTTACATACAGACTATCCAGCTAAAATTGCACCAGCAAATAAAGAACATTAGAAGAAGGAGTGAAGTAATTATGGAGAGAAAAAAGTCTGTTGCACCCATAGATGGAAATGAATGGAAACAGGAAAATGTGCTAAGTGACCAATTATGTGTCTAATCAAGGACTACATTGGGCACATTACCTATTGAATGAGAGCCAGTCTAACCAGTTCTTATTATGGTGTTGATCTAAACCAACAAAGTGAGACTTGGAAAAACTAAAAATCCATATTCATACTGTTCTTTACAATATGGGAAAAAATTCATAAAGAAGCTTGTACAGAATGAATGTGCAGATTCTCCTTTCTTGCCTGCAGCCTAAATCATTTGTTTGTTTTTCAGGATCTAAATGGAAGGAAAGTGGTCTGGTTGCCAGGATACACTATATCAATATTATTCTTTCCTTTCACCATAATCCCTGGTCCATTGCAGGATAAGGACAACCCACTAGTGCCAATCAAACTGCGGAGGAAAAGTAGTTTAGAACTAATTCACTACAAGTATAAGGAATGCAATAATTACATACTCCTCGCCAGAATCTTGATAGTATTGCTATTGGATTACAATACTGTTGTCTATGAGGAGGCATTTTCTAATCCCTTAGAGATTTGAACAAAATTTTACATGAATCACAATGTGTAATGGCGTCATATTTAAACGATGTATGTAATTTGGATTTGATCAGGGAAACCTTCCAAAATTCTGAAAACCTGCACATGCAAAAGAGCGCGTCTGATATTAGGGCGAAGTCCGTGCAGGTCCGTCATTTTCTTCATTACATGATTCTTGCATATATCAACTTGTCATTTCATCGCACTGAAAATTAACCCAAATTTGATTTCTGGGATTTCTGGCCTTACCGGTGTTGACGCTGCTGGAGTGGCGGCTGGTGTGTTGGCTGCAGCTGGAGTAGCCGTGGCGACTCTTGACTCGGGCTTACATTGCATTACCCTCTGCAAGAGTCGTGGAAAGATCCATTGGCAGAACTGCACATTTCCCGTTGGCTGCTCGATGCTCCGTTTTTGACCCGGTTTTTTGCTGTCCCGAGCTTCCCTACAATATAACTCCACAATTGGCCGGGTTGCCGATGTTCAGATCGGCCTAAATATTCCACAGCGCGACGGGAAAGTACTAAAATAGCTAGTCGGTACATCCGCGCCGCCATTTTGGATATAGTCGGGAATGTCCGCTACCGCCGTCGGGAACGCTCGGTAGCGCCACGATTACCGAAGCGGGACCGAAAACTCTCCGATCATAACCGGAAAGCCTACCGAGCGTTCCCGACGGCGGTAGCGGACATTCCGGACTATATCCAAAATGGCGGCGCGGATGTACCGACTAGCTATTTTAGTACTTTCCCGTCGCGCTGTGGAATATTTAGGCCGATCTGAACATCGGCAACCCGGCCAATTGTGGAGTTATATTGTAGGGAAGCTCGGGACAGCAAAAAACCGGGTCAAAAACGGAGCATCGAGCAGCCAACGGGAAATGTGCAGTTCTGCCAATGGATCTTTCCACGACTCTTGCAGAGGGTAATGCAATGTAAGCCCGAGTCAAGAGTCGCCACGGCTACAGCTGGAGTTGTTTGAGCAGCGGTCGGACTCGCCAGGGTGGTGTTTGTGATGTTGCCGGGGGTACTGGTGCCCCCTCCCGCGGCAGCCTGTAGTGTCGTGCCGGTCCAGAAGAAGCTGTAGTAGATCGCCAGCACGATGGCTGCCAGCGACACGCAGAAAACGTAGGCGAAAACCGTGGCGAGACGAACCCACTTCTTGTTTGTCTTGGCGGCCATTTTTGCCTTCTTGTCGGAGGTGAACGTCGGCGGCTTGCTGTCGTGCGGGTAGCCGGTGGGGGCATGCTGCTTGGCGGAGCTGGGCGCGGTGGAAACAGGTGGCACGTCCCGCTGCATGGTGGAGCGCCTGGCGGTAGCCGTCTTCAAGAGGAGGAGGGTAATTTGGTACCTATGGGAACCAACCTGCGCCTGTGCCTGTCAGGTTTTCTGACGTAGAATGTCACAATGATTTCACGCCTTGCAGCAAAGATAACACCTCTTGAAAAAACGAAGCCTTTCGTGTGCGCTACCGTGTCTTACCTGGCACAACCGGTGCTGCGGGATGTACACCTGATGATGAGGGACAACTCAGTACTGGAATAGGAGGGGGTTTTAGGAGAATTCAAATGTACATGTAGTTTACGGGTGAAATCTGTAAAATTCTGTAACAGTGCAAATACAGTAGTGCTTCTTTGCAATCGACACAATTATGGCGCATTTGAGTACATAGGATCGGAAACTGCAGGACGCAGCTGACACAGTGATGCATAATGGTCCATCCCCGTTTTGTGGAATATTTACGACGTAACGGTGGATGTCATCCCGTGTAAATATTCATGACGTCATTACGGGCAGATACTCTCGCTTTTACCTGGCGTCTGGTACACTGGCACACTGAGTCTGTGCCAGAAAACCTATCTCCAAGCAGACGTGTGATTTCAGCTTGTTTTATATACCAGCTTTTCGCTTGTTTTGTTCCTCTTTTCTTCTTAATGGACGCATCGCCTTATACATGAAGGGGAATCCATCATGAGTTTCATATTGACAGGGCTATAATCAAGTCGATAGCTTAATTGTATGTCTCAATTAGTGAATTAATTAACCTGGGAAATGGCTTCAAATTGCAATTAAGATAATATCCAACAAACATGATTGTGCTTGGGATTTGTTGGATTACCTTAAAGTAGTACATGCTGTAGCCGTGGCGACTCTTGACTCGGGCTTACATTGCATTACCCTCTGCAAGAGTCGTGGAAAGATCCATTGGCAGAACTGCACATTTCCCGTTGGCTGCTCGATGCTCCGTTTTTGACCCGGTTTTTTGCTGTCCCGAGCTTCCCTACAATATAACTCCACAATTGGCCGGGTTGCCGATGTTCAGATCGGCCTAAATATTCCACAGCGCGACGGGAAAGTACTAAAATAGCTAGTCGGTACATCCGCGCCGCCATTTTGGATATAGTCCGGAATGTCCGCTACCGCCGTCGGGAACGCTCGGTAGGCTTTCCGGTTATGATCGGAGAGTTTTCGGTCCCGCTTCGGTAATCGTGGCGCTACCGAGCGTTCCCGACGGCGGTAGCGGACATTCCCGACTATATCCAAAATGGCGGCGCGGATGTACCGACTAGCTATTTTAGTACTTTCCCGTCGCGCTGTGGAATATTTAGGCCGATCTGAACATCGGCAACCCGGCCAATTGTGGAGTTATATTGTAGGGAAGCTCGGGACAGCAAAAAACCGGGTCAAAAACGGAGCATCGAGCAGCCAACGGGAAATGTGCAGTTCTGCCAATGGATCTTTCCACGACTCTTGCAGAGGGTAATGCAATGTAAGCCCGAGTCAAGAGTCGCCACGGCTATACATGCTGTAGCTACTTAACCTAGACACATGTAATTCAGTTTGTTAGTAAACTGCTTCAGTGACATTCCAAGATTTTTTTTCTTTTATGCAAGTCTCTTGCAATAAGTATATCAGATCCTGATGATTTGAATAAGAGAATAATTACAATGTGCTCCATAAATTAATGTTATACATCTGCTAACTAGGACATCTGTAAAATGGCAGCATTTCAAAAACATATGAAATATGCTAGTGCTTATACATGTACTGCATTGAAGATTGCCTATAACCTCCTCTGAACCAGGCCACCACCGAGAATAGGTGAGTTTTTTTATTCTTGACTATAATTCTTGACATTCACAACTGAACCTGCTGCTGTCTTCGGCGAATTCGGCAACCGCGTCGTGATTCTTTTAAGCATACGAAGTTGTATGCGCCTTGAAGTTGTAGGCTTTTCCCCCTGGACGTGACTCGCGGAAACGCCTTGAAAACCGGCAGTTACCGGCAGTCTAACCTCAACCAAGAAACGTCTGTCATCTTTGCCGTCCAATAAGATATAAAATCTCCACTTACGGCCCGGGTAAACTCATTTTTTTTAGCTACGTAGCGGGATTCGACACCCGCGCTCGCTGTGTCGCGGGGCGACGCGGTTTTGTTTATCTCTCAAAATGGCGGATATTACCCATCATGCATTTCGCGCCGGTAATGGCGAATAGGCTTATAAAACTTGCATTGGAGAATTTGAACATCTTTCACACAATCATTCCACTGCTGAACCATCAAACTATTTACATTTGTTAAGCCTTGCAATAAGTTGTTTAAAGATTTTAAGAAGCGGGATACTGTAAATTGTACATGTATAAAAGTATTCAAGATTGATACGTTTTTGATAGCGTTCATAGTAATTTCTGATAGTGCTCTTTAAAGAATATCAATGTCTTTCCCTGATACATGTATCTGTTTATTGCACTTAATGTGAGTAAAATTTATTTGTGTACAGTTTCAGATTTGAATATTCACACCCAAAATATAGGCCAACATCCAAAGCCATAATAGCTTTGATTATACATGGTACATGTGTAAGTACAGTGTCATGTTCTATACTCTTGTGGACCCCTCCAGACTTGAGTCCAGGGCTGCACGTTCTCCACAGGCTCTTCTCGCCTTGTCCCTGTCATGTAAATAATTGTAAACAATCAATTACAACTTGTTCATTTCACTAACAATAATTATGAAGTAGTGTGGAGCAGCAGTAAAATTATTATCTTTCACTTAATATCATGTGGTGACCATTTAGGAATAAATTGAATGACAAAAGTTGCCACATTACTTACACAGGCCCTATATTGCTTTTCTTATGGTTTTGAAATAACGACGGCACAAGAAGTGCTGCTATCCCTTGTCTGACTGTCAGTTAAGCATCAGCCCACCATTCCCTTCAGCTTGACTGTGACAGACTAACCGTTTGTGTTCCAAAGCTGCCTTGGTGAGCCTCCTCCTCTCCTCAGTGATGGGATAACTCCACAGGAAGAGGAGGGAGATGAGGATAAAGACAATAGGAGCAGGAGCCACCAACATCCTCAGGGTGAAGCCGACTATGGCAGACTGGGAGCAGGCCCCGGTGACATAACCAGCAGCTCTGGGAGAGTGGAATTGTTCTACATTTACTCAAATGCAAAATACAAGGATACTGATACTTACAAAGATATCTGTATTGTACAATGTACAAAAACAAGCTGTGCAACTCCCATTTTAGGATGTAATGATGATATAATATAAAGTTTTAAGTCACTGCCAACAAACAAGGTTGTCATATCTTTGTACATGTTGTGAAAGTTCTACTTACTCCAGAGTGAGAGTGGATAGTCCTAAAGAAATGCCAGCAGCAAATTTGGTGAAAAAGACATAAAAGGAGTAGAAGATGGCCTCCCTCCTCGTGCCTGTCTTCAGTGTGAAGTCATCCACAACATCAGGTAACATGGACCTGGAGATACAGTGCACCACCAGTAAGGGAACAAATTTGTCCCATCCAGGGGCTCAAATTTCAGCATTCAATCAACACCCAGAAGATTCTGCTCTTGAATAGAACCTCCTTGCTTGAAATCACTATTCTCTTAATTCCATGTTTTTCTACCTTCATTGATTTTTGGCTCTTTTTAGCAAGTCTACATAGTACTTTGAAAAGAACAAGGTACATGAAAAAATGACTAGTGTTTGACTGCTGGAGGGCAGTTGTTTTACCCATGACTCACCATGGCAGCAGGAAGGCAACAGAGATTCCCACCCCTCCCAGTATGGTGATGGGGTAGACGGCATAAAGGTTCCCCGGGAGGTACAACAGAGTGAACAGGGTGGGGATAAATACCTGGGACAAAAGTACCAAACAAGTTTCTTTCATTATAACAAGATCAATGTCACTCACATTACAGAATGCCAAATGAAATCAAAGCCACCAACATTTTCTGGAAAAAAAAATCAAATTGTACTATTCTGTTAAACAGGGCCAAACTACAATGCCATTGACTGTAACTTAGTGGGTCTATGATAAGGTTTTAGACAGAGTTGACCTACTGCAGTTCCCCAGAAGAGAGCCGTTTTCTTCCCATACTTGACAAGACACCACTGCCAGACTGGCATGCACAGAATTGCTGCTCCCTAAGCCAGATCAACATAATGACTGTGAGCAACAGGAATAGAGTAACTGTACAATCATGCAATGCATGCAACATACATGCTATATATGCTGACAAAATCAGTTTTATCTGTTAAGGAATATTGCATGCAATACATTACTTAACAGGTTGGCAAAGATAAGATATCATATCATACCATACCATAAATATGATACACAAATGATTTTCTGTGGGGTTCAAGATACTAAACCAGAATATCCAACCTCACATTTCTACAAAATAATGATTTTTTTTTTAAATAATTATGAAAGGACAGAAATACCTTGGATGTGCCCAGCAGAGTAGGACATGATGGGAAAACTGTCAGACACATCAGAAATATGTACAGAAAGACATTTGAGAAGCAGAATAGGAGCATATAGCAATAACAAGTTCTGTTTATAAGTCTCTAACTACTAGTGGCTTGAGATCACAGTGACAAGAAGACTGGACAGAATCATTCTGCAGTGCAAGTAATGGTTACTGACCAATAAGGCAAGGATGAGGTTCTGGAACTGATCTCCCTGGCCCAGGGAATGCTGACAGAACAAGGCAAAGTTACCCTGTACAGACTGGGTGAGAAGTACATGTAGGTACAATGGTTAGTATGGTTACTAGTGCTGATCTAACAAAGCCATCATATATACAAGCACTTGTACATGTAGTAAAGCATGTACACCAATATTAACAACAACACACTTTTCAGTACTTTTGTTTGCCAGATGTCATTTGCAAGAATAAAAAAAAAATCTGATTTATTGTACAAGTAATTCATAGCCCTGAGGCCAGTATGATGCATGAAAGATCACTGAATGGTCTAAATCCTTACAAAAAAATCTGAATGGCTAACCTGAATTGCCAGTGAAAGGAACAGGAAGCTCATGGTGAGTTTCACATATGGACCATGTTTGAAGACCAGCTTTAGTCCCTGGAAAAATGATGCCTCCTCTTCTTCACTGCCTCCTTCTACATCTGAGGGGAATAAAATGCAGGTACATGTACTTTATACAAGATGCACATTTGTGAGGACTGTAACTTGTAAAGACAGATGACATCATTTCAGTAGCCTGTGTTGCACAATCTCTCACTAGGCACTATTGGCCCCTGTCAGAGACTCTTTATTGGAGCTGAAACAAGATATTCACATGACAATCAAAATTGCTTTCCTCACCTTTCCTTTCTGTCACTCCAAAAAACACAGTTGCAGCACAGAAGAGGTAGAATCCACACATCACACCGGCACCAACAAGATAGGCTCTTTCCTACAACAGATAAGTAGTGAGAGGATAACAAAGGATTAGTGTATGAGGTTACTCAGGTGATTTACTCTAACTTACAGTCTTGTACTTAAGATGTCAACTTGTCAAACATGTGCTTCAAAAACAATAAAATGCATAAGAGTGGGATAAAAAAAATGTTAAAGAAAGGAGAAACAACTTAACAATCATTTACAAATCTAATAAAATAATATCAGCGAGTAGAAACCAACCATATTTGCCCTGATCACAGGACTAACAGTGGCTCCAGGGTTGTCACAGTCTGTTTCTGTGGACCCGCCAATACCAGCAACGATCTGTCCCTGGATAGCACTGCCGAGTAACACCCCAAGAACCTCACAGAACATTCCTGGACAAGTAAGCACAGAACTTACAGTATGTAGCAGTGAATCAATACAATTATTAAAGGGATATGCTAACTTTTTCCTACAGCAAATCAAGGACTTAATGCTACATGTACACACCCATCATATCACTGGATGTTCTGCATGCATCGGAAAATTATGAATTCTTATATTACCAAAGAAACGAGTGCAAGACGCTTGTGTCTAGACGTACTT